TCGGCATTCCTCTTCCAAAGAAGGCTGGATTCACGTGGGGTGCGACTCCCGGTAGACCAACACCTCCAACGGGAGGGAATGGGGACAAAAGCCCAGGAAACTGAGGAGCTGGCGCCCCGGGAAAGCCTCCATAGCTTCCCATTCTCGCCATCGGTCCACCAAAAGCTGGATCAAATCCCGGACCCATCATGGATTGAGGATGCATCATAGGAGGCCCTGAACCTATCCCCTGGCCAAACCCTCCGACATTCCCCATTAAACCTCTTCCACCCATCACACCAGGCCACATCCTCATTGGACCAAGAGGCCCTCTACCACCCATCCCTTGAGCATTGCCTCTGTCCCAGTCACCTCTACCGAAACCTCTATTATCCACTCCTTGGAAACTCCCACCTGTGGTGATGTTGCTAGCTGCAGGTTTATCAGCCACATCAGAAGGGCCCCCTCTCTTAGCTTGTGCAATTGCAGCTTGTGCCTGAGCATCCCCCATTCTTTTAACAGTATATGGCGAAGCAAATGCAACAACACAAGGTCTCCCGTGGAACACATGCCCATTCATCCCTTCTTTGCAAGCCGTCGTCGCCACAGGATCATAAAACTCAACTTGGCAGTACCCTTTTGATTTTCCGTTAGCTTTCTCATCAAAGAACTTAACCTCTTTCAGAGCCCCGTACTTGCACAATTCAGCTTCAAGCTCCGCATCTGTCGTCCACCAATGCAAATCCCCCACGAAAAGTGTTGTTCCATTACCACCACCTCCACCGCTGGAGGTTCCAACGTTAGCTATAACGCCAGTATTTGTCCCAGGACCATCAATACCACCCCCATTCCCGACCACACTACCACCACCAGGAGCACTTCCACTTGCACCACTAGCATTAGCAATTCCTTGTCTCACCAAATTTTCGTTATTTCCCAAGTTCTGCGGCGGTGGGAAGAGGCCCTGACCACTGGTACTCGGTCTTGGCGCTTCAACGTCGTTGGCCCGGTTAGAACCATGCCCTAACTCTACTCTAAGCCCACCTAAAGTTCCGGCAACGGGTCCACTAGGAACTTGTTGACTAACCTCATTTCCTTTAAACCCTTGACCTCCATATCCACCGGGAACTGCACCAGTAGCGGCAGCTGCACCACGCAGCTGCATTCGTGTCAACCCTATCTTCGTTGTTTCCACCCTGCTCCTCGTTTATAAATCCGACTTGGTCGTTCTTTCTCAACGACTGAAGAAACCCTTCACCGACATTAACGTCGTTATAGAGGTCCTCGTAATCGTCGTCTTCTTCCCCGAGAAATCCATCATCGGCGACGGCGGAAATCGCCTCATTCCGGTGGAACTGGTCCACCTGACCCCTCCCGTCTCCTTCGTCCATCTTTTCTCCCGCCTAATTTCCTCCTGTGGCCCCACACTTTCGTTCCTCTTCTCCGGTCAAAGTAATCGAAGCTCAGGCGCAGTCGAACATGGAACAGCTCGGAGATCAAAGCGATCTCGGGTTGCAGATCTTACCCGGAAGAAAGTTAGAGAGACACGCAAGAAACCCTAATCTTGCAGATTTGTGAAATTTCTGGGATTTTCTAAAACGTATCTTTTCTTTGTTAACGGTAATATTAATATTAATATTATTATTATTTTCTTAACTCACAAGTGACAGCCATAACAACATTACGCACTCCCGAAAGCTTGATAATAAAATTTAACACGTGTATTCCCACGCGCGGGGGTGAGCGCGTGTCCAAACTTCAGTAGCCCAACTGCCCAAGTCGCGTTACACATAAACCACACTAACTAAAACGCCAAAAAAAAAAAAAACAAATCAAATAGGGGAAATAAATAATAACACCCGTTTTATTTACCCCAAAGCTCATTCATTCATGCAAATTAAATTTTTTTTTTTTATAAAGGAAAAATGATAAGAACTAGAGCAGCCAGGAAGCGCAAAAGCAGAGCAAACTCATGACAAAACCGAACTTAGCTCCTCCGCCGATCCTGTCTCCGGCATCGTCAGCTGTCTGATCAGCCACGTTATCACCTTCAGGCGAATCCGCCGGTGATTCCGAATCATCCAAAGAGTCCGGCGAAGGAGCCTCCTTGGTCTTCTTCTTCTTCTTCCCCTTGGAGGCCTTCGGCGAATCCGCAGCCTCATCTTCCGGAGCCGGAGCAGGAGAAGGCGTTGGGGCTTCCGCCACCTTGAACAGCTCTTTCGGCAACAAAACCTGCCGAATAATCAAGCGATCATCGTTGATAATCAAAGAATGATTCTTAATTATTTGCGTTAATTATATGGGTTAGACCTTATCGGTTGCGTAGATGGCGAGGGGCTCCTCGTCGATCAAAGTATCGGTGATCTTGACGGAGTCGATCCTGGTCCTGAGGGTGACGTCATCGCCGTCGTTCTGGACAGTGAGCTCGAACTTGTTGGCGCCGTCGGTGGCGAGAGTGTTCATCGGACCATTGTTGGATTTGAGCATCGCCATCGAGTAGTACGTCGGCACCGCCAGGAACTCCATGAATGCTTCTTTGTTCGGACCCGTCAAGTTCTTGTATTTCGGCATGAACCCTTTCATGGCTTCGTCCCCTGGACAGAACACCGTCATCCCTCCTTCCACGCTCTCCTGCAAAAACAAACATCATCAGATCTATTTTGTCCGAATAATCCACCAATCCTGTAACAATATACCCTTTTTGCGTACAGATCATGCAAATCTTGGATTTCTATACACTCGGAATCAGAATCTACTTTCTTCAAAATTCACTGGAGTTTGGGGATGGATCATGGCGGTGTTAATTAACGAGTGAACACTACCTGGTACGTCTTGGAAGCTCCGGGGTTGGCGAGTAGGGCCTCAGCGAAGACCTTGCAGCCATGCGCCGACATTATTCCGGTGAGGTTCATCTCCGCCGGAGCCGGCGTCGGAGCCGCCGCCACCTCCGACGGCAGGACCTTGCTTATCTGGATGATTGATATGTTGTACGGAACCTCCTCTAGGGATTTCACGAAGAACGCCGACAGATCTCCGCCGTCCGGTCCGAATCCGACCTTGCCTCCCCTCAGATCTGTGATGTTGACGAATCCAGTTGTTCCCGGAGCCGAGCCCGTGGCCTGGA